CAGTAAACAACTTGGTCCAAGATTCCTTCACCCCATACTCTTTCATCATCCAAACATCCGCATAAACTTGGTCACGGTAACAAACAACACATAGAGACCCCTCCAAGACTCCCACATCCAACTGAAAATTCTTATTAATATTGTCACTTTCATCGCCATAATCAGGCAGTGACAATTCGCGAAACTCCTCTTTCACAAGATCAAAAGCAACAATCAAATTAGGCACATCAACAAGCTCCTGCCTCCGAGGCGCAATCCAATGTAAAGAACCACTAGCAAGAACACCATATCCTCTTCTAAACATAAGATGGTAAAAGAATTGAAACAAATAACGTAAATATCTAGGCAAGTGACTAATTTTTCTCCATGAATTCGTCTTTAAACTATAAACCTTAACTTCATAACCAAAAGAAGAAGACACAATTTCATCAGGATCATTCTCTTTAAACTGCACCATTCTCAATAATTTATAATCATCCTTAATGGGGTCGTGTCCGAACCCATAGAAAACATAACCAGGACTACAAGAATCACTTGGCAACCCAATTTCACAAACCGGAAGTCTCTTTAACTTTCTAGTTGAAGGGTTATACAAAGCAAGATCTTGTTCAGAGTTTCGCAAAACAATCAAACCGTTACAAGAACCAATAACTTCGGTTCCACCACCAATGTACAAAGGGTGGTTGAGATCAAGTGGGGTATCCAGTGTATCGAATTCCACAGTATAGAGATGCAAACCTTTGAGAATGAGGCTGAGATTGGCCTTGGTTTGGAGGGAATGGTTCAGATGCATTTTGACGAAATCTTGCCCGTCGATTAAGGAGCAGCATGCTTTGGAAATGGCTCTGAAACGAAGGAGAGACTTGACGGGTTGTTTGCATAGGATATCGGTGATTATATCAGGTGGGATCTTCGACATTTCTGGTGTGTTTCGTTCATCCACAGAAGACGAATGAAAGGGCTCTCCTCTCTTTAGAAGGAACTACTGAACTGAAAGGTGGCAGGTGTAGAAGCATTCTTTTATACAACGGATGTTTCCAGAAATGTCCTTTGCTTGAAATTGCGTATCGCATCGTCTATCCAAAACCTAACTTTTCGAATTATATACCGTATATTGTATCGTAAAGATATATTTTTTTTCTCAAAAAAACTAATAAAATAATAAAAAAAATTTTAAAATTAATATCATCCCAAGATTAATTAAAAAATTTTATAGTATTATTAGCTTTAAATTATAGTATTACATAATCAAAATTAATTACAAAATTAAGAATCGATATCATTTTCTCTTAACCATTCATATCATTTTCAAGATCAATATCAATATCTATGGACATGTTTGGCTTATTATTTCTCTCCATATTCCCAATCCTATTCTCCAAATAATGTTTGGCACATTATTCCAGAAATATTACCCTATTTTTTTAATTACTTTTAGACCCCATAAGGTTATTAATTTCATTAAATACCCCCTGAAAAAAAGTTTAAAAATTAGCAAAAATACCCCGCGACCCATACTTACCAGATTCTGATAACCACCATCGGTGGTAGCCAGAATCTGTACAACGGCCTACCTGCCGACCAGAAATGGCCGAAAGTTCACCGATCTGGCTGTAACGACGGCCAAAGAAATGGCCGTCGTTGACGGTCAACGACGGCCAAATCTTGGCCAACGTTGACCGAAAACGACAGCCATATCTTTGGCCGCCGTTGGATCTGACCGGAAAAGGCCATAATGACGCGTTACGACACAGATCTGACCGGTCTGTGTCGTAACACGATTTTCCGGTCAGATTCCGGTGGTGGTGGCCGGAATCTGGCACTGCAGGTGGTGGGGGTGTTTTTGTCATTTTATACATTAGGGTGTTTAATTAAATTAGCAAACCTAGGGGCTTTTTCATAAATTTTTAAATTTTACCTCGTAATACTCCCCTATCAAAAATAATAAACCAAACGCACCCTATATCTCCACTTATATTATTATTATTATGCAAAATGGGCAACACATGTTCCTCTTCACTTTCTTCGTGCAAAATGAATAAATTTGGACAAGTTTTAGTGAACCGGATTGGGTGACCCGGATCCGATCCGAATCTGTTTTGGACCTTTGACTCAAATTAATAAAATCGTATCCATTTATATTGATATTTTTAAGGATGTGAATGGATACGTATGTATCGTGAGATATTTTGATGTATCGTAAGATACATACCAACATATCAAAAAATTTAATATATACTCTCTGATACGTATCATTGACAATCTGTATCGAATCGTATCGTAGGATATATATTGTGTATGTTATTATACTAATAACCATGTATAGTATGTTAACAATCAGTGGGTACTTTGGTCACGTGAAAGCTTATTTTTTTGTCCCTTTTTAAAAATAAAAAATAATAAGATATGGTTATTAGTTAATGGGCCCCAAACTAATCGGATCTCCTTTGTTCATAACACAAATGAATTAAAGCCCATTCACATGTTATCTCAACTTGAAGTATTATTTTGCACGTATCTCGATTTTTATATTTTAAACGATGGTTGAAATTTATTAAATTCTTCTCACCATAAATGTTTGGAATCCATCTTATACCAAAATATATATATACTACTTTTGCTAATTTGAATGAAAAAGTGATGTAAATTTTATTTTTTTCCAATATTAAATCGACAATTAACACTTTTTTTTTTTTTTTTTGAAAATAGGATATCTGAATCAGCTTGCGGGTATCTCGACTAATCCCTATAGGTGACTAGCACAACATCCCACCATTAAAATAACTTGTTTATATCTTGGAAGTCAAAGGGATTTGAACTTGAGACTATACGTCTATGATTAACATATTCATTGTACAAGTATCAAGTTTATTTTAAGGTCATGACCAACGACGTTGTTAAAGATATTATTTTTAGGTATCTGAGGTATTCAGACTCATATTGGAGCATGCGTAATCCTCATGACCACAAACACCTGACAAACCCCATAGATCAAGGTAATTATACAAATATGATAGGTACCTCTCTTGCGTCTTGAATACAAAATCTTTTAAATATAGTTAATTTTAATGACTAAAAGGTTTGTTATCGCCAAGAGAAGTTAAGGATATTATTTTAGAGGTATACTGAAACTTGAGATACAAAACCTTCTTGTTTTACCCATTCTTGTAATGTGTAAAAAGGGAGAACGACATTTTCTCACCTAAGGTTTGGCGAAACGACACTTTTCTACCCTTCAAGTTTCAAATGACACTCTCCCACCATTTGTTAGGTTCTGTTAATATTTGACTAAAAAGATGAAAATACGCTTAAATATTTGACTTTATAAATTTTTTATTATTTTTTAATTAGCCAAAAAGTCAAATATTAAAAAGTAAAAAAAAAAAAAAACTAAAAAGTTAGGATTAATACTATGAAATTGTTTAAAGTTAAATGACCTTAATATTTATTTGTAATATCATCAATAATCTACTAAATATATAATATTTTTTATAATATAATGTTTTTTTTTTTTACTAATTAAGTTAGAAAATCAATATTCTTAATTAATTAAATAAAAAAAATATCTTTATACTTAAACTAATAAATAATTACTTTGATTTAACTAAATTTTAATTTATATTAAACTAATTAAAAAATAAACTATTTAAGGATTGTTTTATATTTTTAATCAAATATTAATAGAAAACATAAATAGAATCTGATTAAGGGTGGGAAGGTGTTATTTTGGATCTTGATGGGTAGGAAAATGTCGTTATCCCGTGTAAAAAAGGAAAAGATGCATCGGCTTTAAAACGCGGTTGAAAGATTATCAGATTTCTAGAAGATTTTATATTTAATATTTAATTAATGAAAAGAAACTAGGAAGAAGATTAAGAACAAACAAAGGGAAATTAAAGTAAGTCAAAAACCAGCGGCAATTAGTCAATGTGTAGATTGAAGATCAGTTTAATCACTTGTACAAAAAACATTTAACATGTACTATTCAAGATTTTTCATAATTAAATTAATGCTCCTCGATCTTCAACAGTAGTTCTTGTGATTAAATATCATTCCACAT